GGTTCTGGAGTGGGCAAGCACCTCTCATCTTCCACAGTGAAGACAGAGGCAAAAAATGCATTTAGCTTCTCAGCCATTTCCCTATCATCCTTCGGTACTCCTTTTACCCCTTGTTCATCCAAGGGCCCCACTGCCTCCCTGGCTGGTTTCCTACTTCTAATGTATTTGAAGAAAGTTTTATTGTTGGTCTTTATATTTTTTGCTATATGCTCCTCATATTCCTTTTTTGCCTGCCTGATCACAGACTTGCATTTTATTTGCCACAGCCTGTGTTCCCTTTTATCAACCTCACTGAGACTAGCTTTCCACCGCTTAAAGAAATCCTTCTTACCTTTTACAGCTTCCCTTACTTTGTTAGTTAACCATGCAGGCTTTTTCCTAACCTGCGGTATATATTTTTTCTGAGCCTCTAGGATTGTAGTTTTAAATAGTCTCCAAGCCTCCCCAATGGTTTTGACACTTTCTACGTTTCCTTTCAGTTTCTTCCTCACATGTCCCCTCATATCACAGAAGTTACCCCTTTTAAAGTTAGAAATGGTTGTGTCAGTCTTTTTGGGCAACTCCCTATTTATACAAATGTTGAACTCAATAACATTATGGTCACTGTTCCCAAGTGATGCAATCACTTTTACATCTCTCACCAGGTCTTGGGCGTTACTTAGGACCAAATCCAGGATCGCCTCTCCCCTGGTAGGTTCCATGACCATCTGCTCCATAGCACAGTCATTAAGAGTGTCTAGAAACTCAATCTCTTTTTCCAGACTAGAACACATATTGACCCAATCAATGTGTGGGTAGTTAAAATCACCTATTATGACACAGTGTTTTTGTCTAGCCTCTATCTTTAATTCATTCATCATTTTATAATCCTCCTCTATCTTTTGATCTGGTGGGCAATAACAAACTCCCAGTGTTAAGCTTCCTTTTGGGCCCACCATTTCAACCCATAGCATTTCCAGAAGCAAATCCCATTCACTTTCCCTCTCAATCTTACTGGACTGTATACCCTCTCTGACATACAGAGCCACCCCATCTCCAACCCTTCCCCCCCATCCTTCCGATATAATATATAACCGGGAATCACCGTATCCCACTGATTTTCCTTATCCCACCAAGTTTCTGAAATACCCACAATGTCTATTTCCCCCCTCCCAACACCAAGCACTCCAACTCCCTTTGTATAGAAACACCTATAATTTTCCATACATGTTAAGCCTGCAACCTTCCTCTTGCTATCACGAGACCTTGTCAGGCAGTCCATATCACTAGCCATAGTCTCAATGGGCAATTCCAATCCAACTCTCCCTCTAGAAAAGCAACAGCTACCCCCTCATCTCTCCGAGATGAGCCATCCTGAACCAGAGACTTTTCATTTCCTCTCGGCTTTCCCTCAATATTCAGTTTAAAAACTGCTCTGCCACCTTTTTGATTATAGCACCAGCAGCCTGGTTCCTTCTCGGGACAAGTGGAGACCATTTCTTCTGTACAGCTCCCTCTTGTTCCAAAAAGCATCCCAGTGCCTAACAAACTTGAACCCTTCCCCCCTACGCCATTGTCTCATCCACGCATTGAGACTCCTGATCTGTGCCTGTCTCTTTGGCCCTGTGCATACCTTGGAGGTCCTGGCCTTGAATTTCCTGTCTAGCAGCCTAAATTTGTCTTCCAGGACCTCGCGACTGCATTTCCCCACATTGTTGGTGCCAACATGGACCACGACCACTGGCTCCTCCCCAGCACTATCTACCAGCCTATCTAGAACACGCGTAATGTCTGCTACCTTCACACCGGGCAGGCAAGTCACCATATGGTCAGTACGCGGTTTCGCCACCCAGCTGTCTACCTACCTAAGAATCGAATCACCAACTACCAAGAGCCCCCCTCCCTCCCTGCCCAGGGATGGTTCCTTGGTGCAAAAGGATACCTGTTCACCAGCTGAAGAAGAGGTCCCTTCTGAGGGCACATTCCCCTTATCCTCAGCACGGTGCCCTGTTCCCTCTCGGCCCTCATGCTCCCTGGCAGCGGCGGGGCTGCCATAACCAGAGTGGGACATATCTAGCAAGTCCCCGAGAGTCTTCTCCATGTGCCTAATTTCTCCAGGTCAGCCACTTGGGCTCAAGGGAACAAACTCGTTCCCTGAGAACCAGGAGCTCCTTGCACCGAGCACTCACCCAAGACTTCTGTCCCGTGGGCAGATAGTTATACATGTGACACCCCGTGCAAAACACTGGATAGCCCCCAACCCCCTGCTGGCATTCTGGCTTCATAATTGCTTTTTAAAACAATAATTATATGTAACCCCCCTTTAAAACCCTTTAAGTGCTTTTCCTTGTAGAAGTCTACTTACCTTACTGGGAACCCAAGGAGACTAGGGCCCTGGCTTTCTGTCTCTTCCTGGGCTTCGTACAGAGCCCCTAGTCTAAGAGTCCCTAAGTCTAAGAGTCCCTAAGAATCTAAGAGTCCCTAGACTAAGAGCGACAGGCCAAGAGCCTCACCCTTTGGCCCTCACCCTTCGACTCGGAGAGATGAGGGGGTAGCTGTTGCTTTTCTTTCTTTCTTTCTTTCTTTCTTTCTTTCTTTCTTTCTTTCTTTCTTTCTTTCTTTCTTTCTTTCTTTCTTTCTTTCTTTCCATAGGGGATTTTTTTTATTATTCGCATTTTCTAAAAACTACAACAAAATTGGGGGAAGGGTCTACAAACTATGGGAGAAAGTAAAGAAAACCCACTAAAAACCCAAGAGATGGTGATCATACAGAATGCTTATAAAATTAGCTTCTTGCTTAAAAATCGCTTCAAGTTCATTGGATGTGGTCAGCCATATTCTTCATATAAAAGCTACAAACACTTACACCTGTACATCTGCCTGAAAAAAATCAATTCAAGAAATGCTTATTAACTGTTATAGCTGTTGCTTTTCTACAGGGAGGTGGATTGGAATTGGAATTCAATGGCCAGTTTGGGGTAGTGGTTAAGTGTGCGGACTCTAATCTGGGAGAATTGGGTTTGATTCCCCACTCCTCCACTTGCACCTGCTGATGTGACCTTGGGTCAGTCACAAGCTCTGGCACAGCTGTCCTTGAAAAAGAGCAGTTTGTGTCAGAGCTCTCTCAGCACCACCCACCTCACAGGGTGTCTGTTGTGGGGAGGGGAAGGGAAAGGAGTTTGTAAGCTGCTCTGAGACTCCAAGTGAAGGGCGGGGTATAAATCCAATCTCTTCTTCTTCTTCTTCTTCTTTTTCTTCTTCTTCTTCTACTATATACATGAAGCTGCCTTATACCAAATCTATCAAGGTCAAACCACTGGTCTATCAAGGTCAAACCACTGGTCTATCAAGGTCAAACCACTGGTCTATCAAGGTCAAACCACTGGTCTATCAAGCTCAAACCACTGGTCTATCAAGGTCAAACCACTGGTCTATCAAGGTCTGCTTATGTTGGTAGTGCTCTACAGGGTCTCAGACAGAGGTCTTTCACATAACCTACTGCATGATCCTTTTAACTAGAGATGCTAGGGACTGAACCTGGGTCATTCCACATGCCAAGCAGATGCTCTACCACTGAGCCATGGCCCCTCCACCAAGTTAGAACCCTTCCCCATGTTCATTTAGATTTCATTTTTCTTTTTTCATATAATGCAAACATGAGTCCCTGCTGCCTCAAGGGAACCCACAGACATTACGACAAATTCCATTTAACAAATGTGGCGAGATTGTACAACAGGAGCTTTGAAGGGGATAAGTGATGCTTCGCTCACAACACAGCAGAACAACTTGCGTTGGAAAAGAGCAAGTGCCTTAGGCGAGTATTTCAGGAGAAGAGAAGCTTTGGTTCGGAAAGGATTTAAACAGATTAAACATCCCCAATTCACAAGGGGGAAGTGGTCTAAGAAACCAGATGGGACTCCTTGTCTTTTATAAGGGAAAAAAATCCTCAGATTTTCAACACCTTCTAGAGAAGACGGCATCTGAGCCAGAAGTTGGCGGAACAAGCAGGGCTGTTCTAGTTGGGATGGTGTTTTGTGTCTCAAGAAGCTGTTGCACCTACTTAAACGGAGAGGGAACATAAGAAAAGCCCTGCTGGATCAGACCAGTGGTCCATCTAGTCCAGCATCCTGTCTCACACACTGGCCAACCCAGAAGTTCAACAACAGGGCATAGAGGCCAGGGGTTTCCCTGGTGTTGCCTCCTGGCACTGGGATTCAGAGGATTAGTGCCTCTGAATGTGGAGGTTCCCCTCAGTCACCATGAATCTATCTAACCCTGTTTTAAAGCTGTCCATTCCTGTGGCCATCACTACATCCTCTGGCAGCAAATTCCACATTTTAATCACTCTCTGTGTAAAGTAGTCGTTCCCTACCTTCAGGAACGATTCCAAGAGGCTTTTTCTGGCTTCCACTTTCTCTGTGTCCATGTTCCCAAAAGGAAGATCAGGAAAGAGCTTCTTTGGACCTTTGACATCTCGTGGGGGGAAATAAATCCAAACATCTTACACCATCTTGAACAATATTAATAACGTTTTCTTTTCAGTGAGGTGTAGTGGACAGAGAGTTGGACTACAATCTGGGCGACTTGGGAGTCAAATCCCCACTCAGCAGTGAAACACTCTGGGTGAACTCGGCCCAGTCCCTCCTTCTGACTAACTGACCTCACAGGGCTGTTGTGAGGAGAAAATGAGGGAGGGAACCATAAGCCTCACCCTGCTTGGGAAAGGGGAGATAAAAATGCATTGCCAGTTTGTTGTAGTGGTTAAGTGCGCGGACTCTAATCTGGGGGAACCGGGTTTGATTCCCCACTCCTCCACTTGCACCTGGCTAGATGACCTTGGGCAAGCCGTAGTTCTGACGAGAGAGCTGTTCTTTAAAAAGAGCAGTTTCTGTCAAGAGCTCTCTCAGCCCCATCTACCTCACAAGCAATGTTCCCTCTAAGCCGTGGAGTCTTGTGAGCAAAATGTCTACTTGGTGAGCTACCAGCATTAAAGTTGTAAGCGAGCGATTTGGCTACTGCATGAATTAGTTTGCTCTGGAGCCATCCTCCCTGAGCTAAGACAAAAACGTGTGAGCCGGAGGCTGAAATACTGTGAGCTAGCTCACGCTAACTCAGCTTAGAGGGAACACTGCTCACAAGGTGTCTGTTGTGAGGAGGGGAAGGGAGTTTGTAAGCCGCTCTGAGACCCTGAGTGAAGGGCGGGGCATAAATCCAATCTCTTCTTTTTCTTCTTTCTTTAAATCCCACCTCAAGTTTCTACAAATGGAAGGATTTCTGTCCACAGAACCACAACCTCCTGACTCCACTCTTCTGCTCTTGTACAGAATGCCCCTCCCTCCACTGATCTTGGGGGAATTTTTTTGGGGGGTGGGGGGTGGGGATCAGAGGGGGAAATTGGCAGAAATTCACCTGCCATATACGCTGCAGATGTGCCCTGAATGTGAACACACACAGGTGCAGTAAACAGAGAACCAATCAGCGCACAGAGGCTGGGCT